TCTGATTAAATAAACTATCAAATGGAATAGGAAATTTTGAAAGGAAAACTGATGTAGGTACATGAAATAGAATTGTTGTCTTAAAATAATGGAAAGTTGTTAAAGGAAACTTATAATAGAAACTTATAATAGAATTTGTTCTGATTAAATAAACTATTAAATGGAATAGAAAATTTTGAAAAGAAAACTTGATGTTCATGAAATAGAATTGTCTTAAAATATTGGAAAGTTGTTAAAGGAAATTGTTGTTCATGAAATGAATTTTGAATTAGGATTTTTATTTTTCAAATAGAAATTATTGTAAAGTTTTATAAGAATAAGTTAGTAATACCTATATTGATAAACAAATAGGTAATTATTTTGGGTTTTCATAAGCAGTCAGTAAAGAACTTAAAATTTTTTAAGAATTTATATAATTGGGTAAAGGGTAGTTTATTAGGAATGAGTAGGAAGTATTGAAATGAGTTAATTTATAAGTTATGAGGAATAGTAGGAATAGGGCGTTTCTTATTTAGTAGGGATATTTCAGTGGTCCGTAATAATAACAATCTAGAACGAATGTGAAGTAATTGACTTTATAGAGATAAATAAGGATGTAAAGGATTGGAAGATATTTGGCTGATTTTGGTTTTATGTAAAATAAAATATTATTTAGTACACCTCATTAGTTTGTTTCTCTCTCTTGCAAATAGACCCTTCCACAGATTTTAGATAGCAGCTCCAAGTATATAATAACACCTTCAATATACCGCTCGCCATTTACCATCTAACTATTTACATAGAGTAGGTACCTACTTGGGGCGTTTTGCTACAGCTTGTGTTGCCAACATAGTTACTAAATTTTTGACTTGGGGAATTATCTTTAAAAAAAAAACATACTTTATGTTTATAAATAAAATGTTTTAGGTACTCTGCTGATGATAAAAAGAATAGGTATGCTAAGAATCTACCACATTTGTAACAATAATCGTGAAGCCGCGAGTGCACTCTATTTGGAAACCATACCCAGAAAAGCATCAGCCGCATAAAACAATATTTGCCCGATTAGAAGCTAACTCTGGTAAATATGGAGCATTTGATAAACCTCGAAAAAAGTAAGGGCGACAGAATAACAGATGAGGAAAGAAATATTGTTTTAGACCAGGTATGGTTATGTTTTAATTTTTTTCATCAAAAGAAATCGTAGCAAATTCAAACATCGAATCTTTAAATCAAACAAAAATATTGAAGATATTGAAAAATAACGGCTATAAATCTTTCAAAACTCAAACGTCACAAAGGTTACAATCTCTGGAGACCAAGAAAGAAGAGTCGAGTTTTGCCAGTGGTAAGAAAACCGAAATGAAGGAGATCCAGTATTTTTAAAGAAGATAATTTGGACAGATGAAAGCAAATTTACGAACTGTGGTTTATTCAATCGGCAAAATAACCGGGACTGGGCCTTGCACAATCCTAGAGAAAATATTCAGGTATACGAAATCAGTATCGATTTGGAGTTAATGTTTGGGTTAGTTTAGAAATTTTGGGGCCGTTTTTTTATTAACAAAATTTAAAAGGGAATAGATATGAACGCATTCCTAAAGAGGCAACTAGTCAATTTGGTTTCAACGCGATGGAGCGCAGCCTCACCACAACACTCGTGCTGTTTGCGATTTTCTGGATGAATGTTTTCTAGGAAAATGGATCGGCAACCAAGGAATGATACTGTGGCCGGCAAAAAGCCCAGACCTGACTTTTTTAATTTTTTTCCTATGGGGAACAATTGAAAACAAAGTGTACCCTAAAAACTTCAATAATCTGGAGCACTTCACAGCCAGCATAAGAAATGCATTCCGCTCCATAACCCGGAGAAATATCCAAAGAGCTATCAACATAATTAGAAGAAAAGTAAACCGATGTTTGCAGCAAAACGGTGGTCTTTTTGTACATTTAAAATAGAAGACTTATTATAACGAAAGTACTGCGTGGAAGAGAGACTTGTTTGATTTATGTTCATACTTTTGGATGCGATATTCTTCTAGAAAAAAAAGTCGGTGCTGTAATGTGTAAAATTAGCTTCAAAAAATAAAATAAATAACACAGGCCTGTATTTGAAAAAATAAAGTTGATGATGGTCGACCAAAGACGATACGTAGCATTTCAAATCTAGCAACACTATCGTATAGAGGGGAAAAAGTTGCTATGATGAGGTGAAATTTATTTCGAAATATCTGTTCAAATAAGCCCAGGAAAAAATAAAAACGCTTTTGTAAAATTTCGGATTATTCGGAATATTTCCGGAACTATTCGGAATATTTCCGGAACTATTCGGAATTTTCAAATTTTTGAAACGGTATTTCATTAAGCATAAAATTGCGCAATTTTTGCCTCCATTCAACCGACCTCGTATTTCTTATCTCTTACTGTTTCCCAGATCCCAATAAGAGCATCGAATTTAAATCACCCTGTATACCGTTTACGGTACCTGAGAAAACTTGCAAATAACTATGAGGGTGGTTTAAGGGGTTAAAACTACAACGAAATAAAATAGTTGACGTCACTTTGTGTTGTTATGGTTCCAAAATATTATATCCACATTTGGTAGAAAATAGGGAAAAATCTTTAAACCAATTTTTAAAATAGTACAGTTTAGGTATAAACAATTAAATCATCCCGACTTTTCAAATCGGAAATGGTTATAGCATTCCCAACGTCAAATTACATAGTGTTTAGGTCGGCTTAAGCACTCAAAGTCGGATCCCGACGTCGAATCGACTGAAATTTAATTCCCCATTTTAGTCGAATTTTGGTCGTCAGGAAGTCCTACGGACTTCGCATGCCGACGTCAGGTGGAACATTTTTAACGTAATATCACGTCAAATGAGGGTACCTATGTATAACACAGAAAAAAATTCTCTTTATTTTGACATTAATTTCAATATCAATTTCGAACTATTACTGTATTTGAACTTTATTTTATTAGGAGGAAAAACACTATGGTACGATGGTAAAAATTAAACTCCCATATATTTGTCCATTTTTAATTTCACACTGTTCAGACAAGTTTTTTTCTAAGATGTTGTTTTTTTATTTCTTCCTCATACTTATTTCCTTCATCACTTCTATATGCATAATTTTGTGATCTGAAAGGTAATGGTCTTGCAGTTTTATGTTACAGCTAGGACTAGCATTTATTTGTTATGCTGCATTCTGAGATATTATTATATTTTGCACTTTCTAAGCATTCATTTCAATTAGATTTTTGTAGTTACCTATCGATAATTTTAGAGCGTTTCAATAAGTCAAAATTAAAATCTCCTACTATAACACATCTATGTTTCTGTTGTTCAAGAAGCCTGTCGAATTCTGTTAGGAAAATTTCGCCATTGCATTGTGGTGGTCTGTAATCCGAAAAAAAGAAAGATTGTATTTTGATAAACAAATTTGATAATAGGAAGAGCACAAGATTCTAAAAATTTTCAGGTTTTCAACATTTCGTCTTTAAATCTTGTATTGACTGAGCTTTGTCGATTCCATATGATCAGTTTATTGTGAGTCAAGTTCCCAACATGAAAAAAATTGAAATTTCGGCATTTCTGAAAGAAGAGGGTCCCCTCATCTTCCTCCCAAAATTTGAAAAATTACATTATCTTCAACTGTATCATACTTAGATATTAATCTGAAAATTGCCAAGTATGTAGTTTGTAGTAAAGCACTAAAAATGCTGCAAATTTTGTCTCATTTGGAATAATAGATGCAGATATTCAAATTCGATAAGGGGGGAGCAATAGATTCCAAAGATTTTCAGTATTTCAACATTTCGTCTTAAAATCTTGCATTGATTGAGTTTGGGCGGTTTCATAATATGATCAGTTTAAGTCAAGTTCCCAACATGGAAATATTTGAAATTTCAGCATTCCTGAAGTAAGAGGGAACCCCCTTTTTTAACTTTGAAAAATCATATTATCTCCAACTGTAACATGCACTATACAGCTTTTCTTTATTTAACTCATAAGCAAATTTAATTTCTCAATTTGAATTTATAAGGCCTTTAGGATCCAGTCAAGAACCTGGAGAATCTGGCCATTTTGTCCAGAGGTCAGTGGCGCAGAACTAGCCCATTCCTCTCTACGAATATAGCTGGACACTTGTTTTCTAAAATATTTTTTTTTTTACCGAAATAGGGTGGCAGCAGTAGATCGCAAGATTCTCAAATTTTTCAGTTTTTTGACTTCAAATACTACATTGATTGGTACTAAGGAATTCGGATAATCCCAAATAAACATTTCAACTTAAAATTTCAGCAAGGAATAATTCAAATTAGGTATGTATTTCTAAAGGAAGTTATTTTTTTTTTTCAAAGGACCCTGCCCAAAGTATACGGAAATTGTGTTTATGTCAGAATTGGCTAAATTTTGTATATAATGTAGTTGTAGATCACGCCTTACTGATTAAAAGTTACCATTGCACCAATCCTGAAAAATGACTCCTTCTTGAGAAAATTACGCGCCACAAGCTTATTTTTTCACGCGACATTGAACGTTCATTATAATATCTGCGTTCTAGTTGCCAACTATGAAATTATTTTTTTCAAAAAGGAGTCATTTTCCAGGATTGGTGCAATGGTAACTTTTAATCAGAAAGGCATGATTTACATTATATACAAAATTCAGTCAATTCTGACATAAACACAATTTCCATATAATTTGGGCAGGGTCCTTTCATCTTGATTTGCAACATAGATATTATTAATCTGAAGAATGTAGTTGTATAAGGGGTACAGACTTTATTTTGTTAAAAATTATTTAATTAATTTCTTTGTTTGAAGGCAGTCTGATAATTTCAGGACTTGATTCTTCAACTTTTTGATCATGTAAATGACCAGAGTAATAGGTAATGGAGAAACCCAGAAAAATTAGGTTTGTAATACCAGTCTGTAATAAAAATCTTACACTTTATTTCAGGAACGATTTTCTAATTGTGGATTGTGAGAAAAATTATGTTTAAAAAAAAAATCAAAATGCGAACTTTCAAACTAGCAATGTTTATTCTTAGACAACAGTATACATAAAAAAACCTACAATATTCTATTGCCTTGCACATTATTCCTATTGTTAATAGCAATCTTGACTTGTCTTTTAGCTTCATCTTTGAACGCAACAGAATTGATTTTCTTTTCCAATCTGCGTTCTTTTCTGTAGTCTTTCAGCGCTTTTTTACGTTCCCTTCTATCTTCTGGCGTTTCGTCTTTGGGTCTTATCGAAAGGGTGGACAGTTGAGATATCACAGATTGACCTAGAGAATTAACAAACAGTCTCAAACAGACGAGAAATAGGTAATCACTCACCAGAATATGATTTGGGACCGGCATTTGTCATTTCATCGTTTTCTTCGTTAAATTGATTCAATGCTTTTGTGGTCAATTTGTTGGCATCCAATATATTTTTCGGAATTCCTGTGCGCTTGTCTATTTGGATTTTGTTGGTTTTATTGTTCTGGAATAAAGGAAGTCAGTGTAAATTAACTCAGCCACAGAGAATTTATTTAAAAATTGGTAGATTTTTGTTGTTTTTTTTAATAAATTTGTTTATCTGGTACATAAATAGTTTATTATAACTTAGCTAATTTTAAAAAAATTGGAAGAATCTGTACATGGCTCTCAAGAAAAAAAAGGTTTGCTTGCACAAACACCATAAAACAAATTGCTACATTTTTTTTTATAAAAAAGAACCAGTTAAATTTGTCCGCTAGAAAACGTGAAATGTCATTTTATTGAAAGCGTCAGAAATTGTCATTTTTTTTTATATAAAGTTTCCAACACTTGTAAATCCTCAAACATGGATACAATTTCAAACAGTCTACAACCGTACAAAGAATGGGTGGCTCGAGTAGCTGCAGCAGCAACAATTCTCCAGTTTTTCGCAGGAGTACCTATTTGCTGGGAAATTCACAAAAAGAAGAGCACCCGAGGCTATAGTGCTTTGCCTTTTATTGGAGGCACAGCCGTTGGAGTTCTTTTTCTACAGTACGGTCTGATTTTAGGAGATCAAACAATGGTTCTGGTGAATATTGTAGCGATTTTTTTGAATGCAGTCTATACAGGGTTTTATTACACAAAAGCTGAAGATAAGAATGGAGAAGTATTAAAACCGATGGCATACGCAGTGGCCCTGGTTGCCATGTTAATTGGCTACATCAGACTTGAATCGCCTAATAATGTTGAGTTTAGATTCGGCCTCGTTTTAATGATATTAATGTTGACTTTGCTTGGAGTACCCTTGTTAGATTTGAGAGAAATTATCAGGAAAAAAGACGCCTCGAGTATTCCATTACCTATGACAGTGATGGGTGCAATTGTAACATTCCTTTGGGCGCTGTATGGAATAATTCTGCACAATAATTTTTTGCTTGTCCAAAATTTGATCGGTTTCATCTTATGTTGTGTGCAGCTCGGTTTGATAGTTTTCTATCGACGGAGCAAAACTGAAACAGCTGCAGATCAGGCCCAAGGTAAGTCAAAATGAAGTTTATTCTTCGTTATTAAATTTTCAATTTCTATTCCAGGTTCATAGATTGCTTTACCAAGAGTTGCGAAACTATTTTCTTCTATACTGATATTTTTTTATGTAGTCACAGTAATTTATTCTGTATTAGCTTTTTCAACAAAACAATAAAATTAGTAGTAGTTAAAATTATAGCTGGAGACAGTTGAGTTTTGTTTTAAAGATGAGATTCTTGTGTAAGCATGAGTTTTATGTTAAAGGATCAACATTGAAAATGTCAATACAAATTTTAATCATCATTTCAGCTTAGGCAAATTGAAATATTTTATAAATTGAGTTGTTGTTCGTCCAAAAGTCGCCCCCAGCTAAAAATTAAATTTCCTCTACGTTAACTCAGCCAAACTAACATCTACAAAACAGCCCCTAATTTATATCCAGCCAAGTGAAATAAATTGTATTAGAGTTATGAAGCCCCTCGCCTGTCAAGTATCTGACTATAAAATCGAGATGTTAGTTCAAGGTTGTCACCGCTTTAATTATCTGAATATAAAATCGAGATGTTAGTTCAAGGCTGTCACCGCTTTAATTATGCAAATGAGGCAATCCGAATATAAAATCGATATGTTTATGTTGGTTCAAGGATGTTACCGTTTTTGCATACATTAAATGCCGACTCATAAATGGGCAATTACTTATAGAAAATTGAAGTCGGGTGTTTGGAAGAAGTCCGGAGAGGTCAGCAAAGGGCTGGATAAGGTCTGGAGAAATTTAGACAAGTCTGGATAAAGTCTGGATAAGGCTGGATTAAGTCTGCAAAAGTTTGGATAAGTTTGGATAAAGTCTGGAAAAGCCAGAAAATTTCTGGAAACGTCTGGAAAAGCCTCTATTAGGTCTGGAGAAATCTAGACAAGTCTGGATAAAGTCTGGAAAAATCTACCCAAGTCTGGAAAAGTCTGGATAAAGTCTGGAAATGCCTGGAAATTTCTGGAAACGTCGGAAAAAGTCTGGATAAGGTCTGAAAAAGTGTATTTGAAGTCAGGAAAATGTTTGGGAGAAGTCCGGAGGGGTCAAAGGGCTGGATAAGGTCTGGAGAAATCTAGATAAGTCTGGAAAAAGTCTGGATAAGTCCGATTAAAGTCTGGATAAAGTCTGGATAAAGTCTGGAAACGTCTAGCCAAGTCTGGAAAAGTCTGGATAAGTCTGGATTAAATCTGGAAAAGCCTAGAAACCTCTGGAAACGTCTCTAAAAGGCTGTATAAGGTCTGGAGAAATCTAGACAAGTCTGGATAAATTCTGGATAAGTCTGGATGAAGTCTAGGAAAGTGTAGCTAAGTTTGGAAAAGTCTGGATAGGTCTAGATAAAATTTGGAAATTTCTGGAGTAATGACTCATGGGTAATTACTTATACACAATATAATATTCCTAAAATATCATTATTAGGGGTTTTCGCTCGATTGAAGTCGGGCAAGTGTTTCAAAGAAGTCCGGAGAGGTCAGGAAAGGACTGGATAAGGTCTAGAGAAACCTAGACAAGTCTGGATAAGGTCTGGATAAGTTTGGATAAAGTCTGGAAAAGTCTGGATAAGTTTGGAAAAGTCTGGATAAAATCTGGAAATTTCTGGAAACGTCTGGAAAAGGCATGGAAATTTCTGGATTGGGTCGGAAATTTAGAATAGAGATGTTAGTTCAAGGTTGTCACCGTTTTAATTATGCAAATAATGCATTAAGTGGTGACTCATAGGTAATTACTAATGCCTTCACATAGGTATAAATTCCTAAAATATCATTATTGGGCGTTTTCGCTCGATTGAAGTCGGGCAAGTGTTTGAAAGAAGTCCGGATAGGTCAGGAAAGAGCTGGATAAAGTCTGGATCAGTCTGAATAAATCTGGAAAAGTCTAATTAAGTCTGAAAAAGTCTGGATAAAGTCTGGAAGCGTCTGGAAATGGCGTGGAAATTTTTGGATTGGGTCGAAAAATTCTGCAAAATTTGGAAAGGGTTGAGTTTTTGCTGATCTTAGAGCTCACAATAATCACAAGCATTAACATTGAAGTCTGCTTCGACATTTTAAATGTTCTCCTTGGTTGTATATTTGTGGAGGATTGTGAATTTTTTATTTACGTGACAAATATCTGATAATATGCCTATTAGTTTTGCTATTAGATGGTTGTTTTTCAATGCAAGAAAATGGTTTATCATTTTTTCGATGTCCAATAGAAGAATCTAGGTGTGTATAGGGTTTTCCAATAGTGACGCTCGCTGTTTGACAATAGTCCATGATGAACTCGATAGTCACATAGGTGCTATCTTTGGCAACCGTATTCAATTAAGATCAATTTTCACTTGTGCTACACTCAGCACGGCGACGCGACACGACGCCGTGATGCAAATTATTCCTAGATAAATATTTCATTGGTTAAAACTAATAGATTTCCACCTACATTGCACTATACTCTACGACGCGTCGCATTTAAACCAATGACATATTTATCTAGCGACAGTATGCATCGCGTCGCTGAGCTGAGTGAAGCGCAAGTGAGAATTGACCTTTAGTCTCTGCATTTCATTATGACATGACTAACGCGTCGAAATTGTTAGAAATTATTATCATTATCAAAATCAATGTTCTATTCGGCAAACATTTCGTGCATTCCATTTAATTTATGCTGTCAATGATCGTCCTCCAGAATGCACAATTTGCCGATCTAACGCCACTGGATTTTTTCTCTGAGATTTCTGAAATCCAAAGTATATGTTGACAAACCTCGAACACTAGCCGGCTTAAAGGCCAACATTAGGCACGTAATTGCTGAAGTTGAGCCACTCTTATGTTATAACGTTATCCAAATTGGATAGGTATCTAGAATAGGTCCATGAAAAATAAGTCAACGAGTGTTTTTTCTTTTTCTTGTTAGTCAAAAATTGACGGAGATACAACGCTTTGAAATGTTCTTCCGACGTCATAACTTATAATACGTTGTGATGTCGCACATGATCAGTATGTATATCTATATATACAAAACTCAATATTTGTATAACTTCCGAAATAATCATATTTGAACAAAATAAGAAAACACGCATCGATTTTTTTTTCGATTTTCTACAATTTGTAATAAACAATAATCAATTTAATTTTCCATGCGAGTACCCTATTTAATAAATCCGGCAAACCTGCGGCGGACATTCACCTGATATAATTTAAAAAAAATAATGTTAATACAGGGTGCTTACGAAATCACTTTCCGGTTGCTACTTATTTTATTTGTCTATCGATATCAATGAAACTTTAGTGGAATAAAATCACTGCTCTAACTCGCTGTTTTCTGAGGGTAGGTGATTCTGAGGTATAACCAGATGAAACCTATATCATTTTGTAGAGGACAATTTGGGGCATAGGAAATGGGAATGTATAACTTTTTTTAATAGGACTGAACTTTGAAATCGGCCCTTAAACGTGACTGAGCTCGAATTTGAAAAACTATGTTTTTCTAAACATTACCCGCTGTATTAATTTAAGCATACAATCTAAAATTCTGATTTTTTGCACACTTATACTTGAAATATGAGCGCTTCTAATGACAGTTCAGAAATTTCGAAAAGGCTCAAGGTTTTTTTGTTAAAAAGTTAGGAATATAGAATTATCAAAATCGTGCATCTAAAACTTCACCATGCGGCGAGCTATGTGAATTATTGAAAATTTCTATACATATATATCGAATCAAATGTAGCAAAAACATTGACGAAATTTTTAGAAAAAAAATTAAGGTGCTAACTTTAACGGTTATAGAAATATAAATTTTTATCCAAGAGCCCTGGGGTGCGCTCAGTCCATCGTGAACCGCGTCGCGACGGAATTATTCGTGCATTCACCGAGAGGTGCATTTTCTGACTTTTCCAGTATTGTGCGTTCGTATGCACTGATTTATTATCAAAGTTTGAACCATATTCAACAGTCGCTTCTCTTCGAACTGATGTTAAACAAGGGTGTGACTAAAAAAAAGCAACTTAAGCTACTTTATTCAAAAAAAAAAAATCTAAGATCTCCCGTGAAAACTGCAGTCTTTCATTCAACATACTATCCGAGAAAATTCTTCATGAAAATAAATTTTGCGGGAACTTGTGACGTCACACCGGCTAACCGCCGAAATCATATCCTTCTGTTTATTCAGTGGTTGAACTTTAAGTGGTTGCAATTTGCTTTAGGTGAGATCGTTGACTTTTGTCTTGGAAAATTTTACACTTATTTTAAGTGTGCCTCCGAAGCCAGTGTGACGTCACAGCCTAGGCGTTTATCACTTTGAACCACCCTTATACTCGAAAACGGTTCATCGTAGCAAGATGCGGTTCAAATATTTGTTCTTAGATTTTTTCGCACTAAAAGTTCATTTTTGTTATAATTCACTTATAATAGATAGCATGGTACTTATTCAAGGACTAAATGATAAAGCATTTTCAACTTAACTTTTAATGAACTCGCATGTATTTTTCTGAAGCAAATTCTTTCACTTGGTCGAAGGTATGAACTATGAAGCACTATAAGGATAACGGTGGTTTTTATAGGTCAAGTCTTTGGAAAGACGCAGAAGAAGTACCTAACTTCGCAGATACGTATGCGTATGAAGTTTCTAGAAAGAGAAAAGTGATGAAGTTTCGGAATTTTTTAAAATTGTCAGAAAATGAAGAATCCCTATTGAAATTTGTAACAGGTTATATTTTGGAACATTTAGCTGACAAATAGAAGAAACTCTGATCATCACTGGTGGTTTTGAAAACCCAGAGTTATGCTTTTCTGTCAACAAGACTGGTGTAACCGTGTAACCGAATTGAAAGATTTGAAATCGATTCATGATGAGACTGATGCACGATTTATAATCCACGTCTTATATGAATATCAGATACTTCACAAAAAAAAAGTGTTGGTGAAGTCTGCAGATGCAAATGTTCTGGTATTACTTATTTACCACTATTCTGAATTTATTGAAGTAAGTTCTTTGAAAGAAACCTACCTTTTTATGAAATTGGGACAAGGGAATAAAAAACGGATCATTCCAATAAATAGTGCAGAAACTGGAAAATGAAGTTTATAAATGTTTACCAGCGTTGCATGTGTCAACAGGATGCGATACCACAAATGCAAAGGCAAAAAATGTATTTTATAAAAATCTTGGAACCTTATATTGCCACCAAATTTGCATTGGCCCTATTCAGAAATAAGAACGAGGCCCTAAAAACCCTCGATAAATTGAGATATCAATTGACCACAACTTCCAATAAATCCGCTTCTGAACTTCTACCCACAGATGATGCATTTTACCAGCATGTACTGAGCTAGGTGTATATATAACAAAAGGAGCTGTATTTATGCGATAAACAAAATTTCAAGTGCATATATCAACTGCGTATATGGATATCCAGTCATATACCTAATATGCCTATACTTAACCCTGTTAACTTTGGTTGGACTAGGAATAATGGAATTTTTGAGCCTGTTTTGATGACTGCTGATCCCATACCAATGGATATAAGGCAACTAATGAATGTCTTCTGCGAAGATAAATTATGTCAAAATAATAAATGTGTCTGCTTGAAAGAGGGTTTAACATGCTGCAGCGATTGTTCCTGCAAAAGTTGTCAAAATAATGTTCCTGATTTATATGAGGATGACGAAGGAGAAAATAGTTAAACTATAACTTGATAAAAAAGGATTCAATCAATTACTTTATGTTTATAGATTTTTTTATTTTATTTCTAGATGTAACGCTAACGCACTAACGCAGATGATTTCCAGAATGGTAGCCGCTAGCCGCTATTAGCATCAGAGCGCATTTCAAAGCTCCCGGATAAAAATTCCTATTTCTATAACCGTTAAAGTTAGCGACTTAATTTTTTTTTCAAAAACTTCATCAATATTTTTACTACATTTGATTCGATATATATGTATAGAAATTTTCAATAATTCACATAGCTCGCCGCACGGTGAAGTTTTAGATGCATGATAATTCTATATTCCTAACTTTTTAACAAAAAAACCTTAAACCTTTTCGAAATTCCTGAACTGTCATTAAAAGCGCTCATGTTTCAAGTATAAGTGTGCAAAAAATCAGAATTTTAGATTGTATGCTTAAATAAATACAGCGGGTAATGTTTAGAAAAACGTAGTTTTTCAAATTCGAGCTCAGTCACGTTTAGGGGCCGATTTCAAAGTTCAGTCCTACTAAAAAAGTTGTACATTCCCATTTCCTATGCCCCAGAGTGTCCTCTACAAGATGATATAGGTTTCATCTGGTTATACCTCGGAATCACTCAAAGTCATAATTTCATTGTGATTTTACTCCACTACTTGGTAGGGTTGATATTTTAACCAAACGCTATTTTTATGAATTTATGACAAAATTTCCTGACTTCCGGTTTCACCGGAAATGACCGCAACTTTTGATTTTTAAATGAAAAACCCTGTATATTTTTTGTTTTTCGAATTCTGCAAACCGTTTAACATCCTAATGCACCACTTTTGAATTGATTTTTGTCCAAATTTTGTTTTTTAATTAAATTTTAATTTTTTAACCAGACTGCCATGATCATTCCAAAATGACTTTACTTAATTTTAGAAAAATAGAAACTCAATTTTATCTTTGTAAACTTCTTTGATAGAGGGCTGTTATTAACATTATTTCAGTATTTTTGCCCTAGCTCAAAAACTAGAATAGAAACATATCACTTTCATAATATTACTAAATGCAGTATTTTGAAGCGAATCCAACGATATAATACACTACGACATTTTTCTCAATTTTCGTTCAAATATTTTTGTAGGTATTTTTTTTTTTTAACTTGAAATTAGATTTGAAAGCGAAATTTGGCCAAAACTCGATTTAAAAGTGGTAGATTAGGACGTAAAAAAATCTGTAAAATCCAAAAAACAAAAAATATACAGGGTGTGCCATTTGAAACTCAAAAGTTTCGGTAATTTCCGATAAAACCAGAAGTCAGGAAAACTTTGTCAAACATGTATAAAAGTGACGTTTCTAACGAATCTAACAAAAGAAGAAACGACTTGTTTTTTGACTCGAGTTTTTCAGTTGAAGAATGCCCATCGAGATGCCCATTCAGGGAATACCTACATAAAAAAAAATTAAAATAAATTTACTGTAGCCAAAATATATGAAAGCATTGGTGATGCGATAATTTTTGTGCGGTGTGTAATTGCTCCAATAATTAACGCAGGTATTAAAAATATATTTTTTTTAAATTTGACTCCTAGGTCAAAACTTGATAATTATTTATGTCTGTTTGAATAACATTTTTGTGCAACCGTCCGTGAAATGAGCTTTCGCGGCCGCTACACAGGCCGCAAAATTCATTTTCGCGGCCGTCACACCTGACGTGCAAAATGTGTCAAATTCTTGTCAAATTCATACAATTTTTCTGTCCCTTTACATAGTTTTTATAGTTGCACAAAAAATAGTGTGTATACCATGACCTCGAAACTTTTTAGCGTCCTCGAGATTATCTTGCCTCGGCGATAATTTTTCTCTACGTACGCTAAAACGGCATTTGACAGCCTTGATATACAAATAATTAATAAACTTGTAAGTAAAATTACAATAGATCTTTATTTGACCGAGCGTATTAAAGGTATATTTTTTGAAATTTCCTGGTATGAAAATACAGGGTGTCAATTTGAAAACTTCCGAAAAATTTTCGAAAAAATCCTTGAAACACGTCGACTATAATTTGAAGAAGGATGAGGTTTTATGCAAAATTCATCTTCCCTTTTTCAACCCCCCCAGCCCTCTTGAGCCACTACCTGGAAAAATTTGAAATGGGGAGGGGGATCAAGTGGTTCATCATTTTGCAGGGTTTTTAATTCCATACATTTTGGAACTAAATGTTAGTCCCTAAGTTCAACTATTTTGGAAAAATCGACAGTTGAAAATTGATCTTTTTGCTAATTTGACAGGCTGTAAAACCTAAATGGTTAATTTTAGAGGAAAACCGATCTTACATTCTTGTCTTGGATTTTCATAAACTATCATTTGACACCATTTTTAAATTTAACCAAAGATTAAATATTCAACCGGAATTTTCCTCTCAAATTAACTGTTTAGGTTTTATGGCTTGTCAAAGTTACAAAAAAGTCAATTTTCAACTCTCAATATTTCCAAAACAGTTGAACTTATGTTGTATCTACCAAAATGTATGGAATTGAAAACCCTCCAAAATGATGCATTACTTGACTCCCCCTTCCCATTTAAAATTTTCTAAGGGGTGGCTCTGGGGGCTGGGGGATTGAAAAAGGGAAGGTGAATTTTGCATAAAAACTCATCCCCCTTCAAATTATAGTTAACGTGTTTCACTGTTCCAGGGATTTTTTTGAAAATCTTTCTACTCCCACATAATACAGGTGGGAAGTTTTCAAATTGGCACCCTGTATTTCTGGCGCGGCGCAAAACTAGGTACTTTAAAAGGCCTCCTGCAAAAGCACAAATTTTTAATTTTAGAATCGGCCTATAGTGTCGGAAACATGGTTTAACTGGTTTGAGTGGTTTGTGGCAGTGGTTTGACTGGTTTGTTATTATTAGTTATTAGTTTGTGCGTTTGTGGGTATTTGATACGATATAGTTTCAGTTTAGAGAGGTGTTCTATGCCAAAGTCTCGGCCAAAGTGTAGTTCTTCAAAGGTGAGTTATTTTTTTTATTTACCCAAATACCTACATTATTCCATTTATTTCAAGGTGTGTAAAATAATTTGTTTTTGCTTTTATATTTGAATGGATTTTTAATTAACTAGCAAGAAATTGCGCAATACATATATGTAATAATAAATTACGCAGTTAGGTAATTCTGCGTATAGTAAGTTAAAATTGAGCACCATGCGCGCATCTTGACAAATTATTCTATTTTGCAGCAAATCGGAAAAGAAAAAAATATGGAGTTTACGAGCAATGCTGAAATAGATTCGTTCGTTATTGGGGACAATACCATGTAAGTGTTAATAATCTGTTTTGAGGTGGTTTATCAAATTGTTCAATTCTTTTTGCAGAGAATTGATTGGTTATGTAGATGGAATCGATGGTAGCAAGCAAGTTAAGAATAACACGAAAACGCTTTTCAAATTCATTCTTAACAATGGACAAGGGAGGAGGATTCGTATCCTCATGTGGGAAGACATGGCCAAGAAATATGAACAAACGATTGTTAACAAGCAGGTAAGTTGAGTTTTAGTTAAATATAATAATACCTATACAGGGTGTTTCGAAATTAATGCACCAAATTTTTATGGCATATCTATTCTACCTCGAAAATAGGCGTTAGTTTCCTATATAAACATATGTTCGGAAACGTTTCCTTTCCGAGGTACAGGGTATTGAAATTCTTGGAAAAAAACTATTTTTCTATCATAACTTTCAAACTACTTTAGATATTTCATTGAAATTTTGTACACAAGCATCAGAAGACATTTTTTGATATGAAATTATTTCTGTTTTAAATTACCAGTGACGTGTGTACGAGATTTGTATGGAATATTTTTGTGTGTCACTGCTTGTTCCTAAAATAAAAATCATTTTTGAAATCCCCATTCAATTTGGAACAAATTTGATTTCTTCATTTTTTTCCGAAAGATGCACCGTTTTCAAGTAAAAAAATAAAACACCATTTTTATTCATGGCGAAATGGCGAAGATTATGATTAAAATGTAAAACATTAAACACCTAAAGTTTCAAATTATTTCTGTTGTCTACATCACTGGTAATTTTTTATTTTAAATATTTCACATCAAAAAATGTCTTTTGCTGCTTGAGAGCAGTGTACAAAATTTCAATAAAATGTCTAAACTGGTTTGAAAATTGATAGAAAAATAGTTTTTTTCCTTAGAATTTTAACACCCTGTATCTCGGAAAGGAAGCGCGTTTCCAGATTTATGTTTATATAGGAAAATAGGGCTGATTTTCAACGTAAAATATGCCATAAAAATTTGGTGCATTGATTTCGAAACACCCTGTAAAAAAGTAACACATAAAATTGTTGGTATATTGATTTACACTGATATAGAAATAATTAATCAATGACTAGGGAATTGAATTTTTTCATTTTACAATAGTTTATTTTTAATTTTTATAATTCTCTAAACGATATTCCCCTTTAATGGTAAGAACAGGTTTTATTTTCATGAGCATGATGATTGTATTTTATAGCAACTAATACTGATTAAATGTTTTAATACAGATATTGTTTATCGAGAGGGGCCTAATTCAGAATGTAAATATGACGTTCTTCAAAAAAGAAGAAAATGTAGTCCCCATTGAAGTTTGTTGTTGGCGTAATACCACAATTAAGATACTGGGGCGTTATGAAGAATTAGGTACGATTGAGCCTCAAAGCACAATAAACACGTGCATTAAAAACTGTGCCAAGGAAATTGGAAAAATAATAAGTGAGTATGCGAAACTGAGTCAGTTTTATATAAAAAAAAAATATTTTTAGGATTACAGGGATATATAAGAGTGGAGTTCACGTTGGTGCCCATGGGACACTCTTCATATGGCAATGGGGCCATTGTTGACGATGTATATAGGCTTAGAGTACACATCGTTGACTTTAAGGACGATCCAACTTTGAAATCCGGGGTACACGTCGAATGTGTGGGAGAAATTAAAAAAGACAAAAGTGAGTAGTGCGGTTTTTTTTTCTAAATTCTAATTTAGTTTCTAATTCAGATGATGGAATTTTTTTGCAATTGGAAAACATGAGCAAAATAGAAATTATTGACGAACTGGTTCTATCAACTGATAATTTAAGACGGGGAATAATTCCTCCAGAAACTAGAATTCTAGATGATGATGAAAAAAATAAAGCAAAACGAAGTCGAATTCAAAAAAATTTGGATGATAGCGGAATAAATTTTAGCCGCGTTGATTTGGATGAGGTGAGTAGAATCGAAGAATTATGTATCATGCAGAATCTGTAGTCTTTTTAAATTTGTTGCACCCGAGGCTTAGTGTCAATTTTAGATCACGTTTTCAATGTGCATTTTTATTAATCAATACTTTTTTTTTTAGGATGTAACCTGGGATTCTGAATAATAATTTCAGCAGTCCAGCAAATCAGAATAAGCTTTTTTTAGGATTTAAACTGGGGATTTCGAATAATAATTTCAGATTTAAACTGGGATTCCGAATGATAATCTGAGCAGTTCAGTAAATCAGAATACGTTTTTTTTTGTTTACTTGGCAGCTCACTGATGGTGATTTTGGGCCACATGGCATAATACTTTAATTTTTTTCTCTTTATGATTTCTAATGTATTTTTTTCCTTTATGATTTCCTGTGATACAGATTGAGTTTAATACCAATAGTCTAGGAAAATTGTCGATTTTCAACAAAAAAAAAAATTCCTATACAAATGAATTTTTCAGGGATGATAGGGAGCAGATGGGTGTTCATAAAACTGAAGATATCAAACATTCACCCCTCTGGCGTTTTACGCTATAGGGGTTGAAAGTGTGCCATTGGCGATTTCTTGGTACCTATTGATTTTACAAAAAAAAATGTTTCAAATAAAAGATGTGTAACATTATTTGATCTACAATGTTTATCTAAAGACTTTTTCGATTAAGGGCCGTCTGTGGTCGTGAGGACCGTTTGAAATTTTATAATGAGAATAAAAAAATTTAACCAACGTGAAAAAAATTTCTACAACACATACAACGTTTTTGCTTCATGAAGTTTTTACTCACCTCCTGCCGTTTTTCAATAGGGGTAGTTTACATTTTTTTTTTTTTTTTCAAAAAAAAATTCTCAATAAAAGTTATATAAGATTAAATTTCCTACAATTTTTCCCTATAAACTTTTTTTGTAACTCACCTTTATTTAGCGTGGGGACACTTCCCTTAAAGAAATTTTAGTTTTTAGGGGTATATTTTATTTATTTTATTTTTTTCTTTTCTCGTCTTTAGTGCATATAAAAAGTTGCAATTAACATTGTAATAGAAGGATTTTTTTTTCACCACCTTTTTGTTTTTGGGGGTAGTTTGCCTACTTTCAATTTCATTAAAAAAAATATAAAGAAAAGTTGTTCAAAATAATAAAATGAACAAGTTTTCTTAATAAATTTCTTTTGTAAAGTTGAAAATAGGTGAACTACCCCTAAAAATAATAAGGTGGTGGAAAAAAAAAATTTCTAAATAATAATAATTGCAACTTTTTATATGCGAAAAAAATTATAAAACTTTCAAATTTAAATTGTGTCTCGAATATCAATAGTTTTCGAAATAGTTGATGAAATAGTTTTTGGCGTTTTTTAGAAATCACCCTGTATTTCATAAACTAAAAGGAATTTGACAACACTGTAAAAACGTTTTGAATGGGCATCAAAAAAGGCAACTTTTCTCTAATTTAACCGACCTTGTAGCTCTTACCGTTTCGAATATAGTAATAGTGGTATCACTTAAAATATACACCCTGTATACCCCTAAAAACTAAAATTTCCCTAAGGGAAGTATTCCCCCGCTGAATGGGGGTGAGCCACAAAAAAAGTTTAGGTATAAGAAAAAATTGTAGGAAATATTATGAAACTTTTATCAAGAAATTTTTTTTGCAAAAAAATATAAAATTTTTAAACTACCCTTATTGAAAAACGGCAGGGGGTGAGGAAAAACTTCATAAAGCAAAAACGTTGTATGTGTTGTAGAAAAAAATTTCAAGTTGAGTAAAAATTTTTATTTTCATTATAAAACTTCAAAGGGCCTTACGACCACAGACGGCCCTTAATAGAAAAAGTCTTTAGATAAACATTGTAGATCAAATAATGTTGCACATCTTTTAGCTGAAACACTTTTTCGTAAAATCAGGTACGAATAAATTGCCAATGGCGCACTTTCAACCCCCTATAGCGCAAAACGGCAGAAGGGTGAATGTTTGATATCTTCGGTTTTATGATCACCCATCTGCCCCCTATCATTCCTGAAAAATTCATTTGGGTAGGAATTTTTTTTTGCAATTCATGTATTTTTCGACTTTTGTTATTGCATTTTTTTATGTCTCAATAATAAACGATTTTCTGTAGTCCCCTTTTATTACTCATCTAAATAAAAAGCCGATATACTCGAAAACGCTAATGGTTAATTGTAAAATATAATTTTGTCAATTTGTTTACCACTATATTCATCAAAATCTAACATCAATAAATATACCTATATAGGTATCAATGAGAATGATGTTACTTAAAAATGCCTTTCAAATATTAATAGGTATCTGTAGAATTTTCAAGAGGAACGAATTTTGGATTAATTTTGATAAGGTAATTTTACATTAATTTAGGCACGTTACATTGAAACTGGAAATTTGGGAATCAATTTTTTTTCTCAAAAAGATAACTATATAAATCAAATATTATTATGTATGAGAAAAGTGGTCACTTTCGAATATAGGTATCATTTCCGTATTCAAATTTTACATAAATTCGAAGAACCAAATTAAAAATATCGAATTATGATAATTAAAAAATATCTTGCGTTTCAAATCCAGATGAAATCGAAGAATTTGAAATTGGTATAGAATTCAATTCTGTAGTTTTTGAACTGTCCCCATTTAATTCAATTTATTGAATCTTAATTCGAAAAACTCAATCTTCAATTAAAATTTTGATTAGTCATTATGTAATGAATTTTTAATTTTAACTTCCAGTGATTTGTTAATCCCTATACTACTAAGGGCGGGTATTATAAAACTGCTTTGACAGTTAACTTGAAGTTAACTTTTTGAATTATATCAAAGCCCCCTACAGTAATAAGCCATGAAGTAAAAATGCCAACACCGCATAGTGGCTCTGCTGGTCTGCCTTTGAAAGCAGATTTTTTAGGTTAGATGAATGATTTGATTCTATATTTTTTCAAAAATATGATATTATTGTATTTGTTTCGAGATTTGTTTGGGAAAAAGAATGAACTGGATAAATAAAACACCAACACATACTTATAACTACTCATTTAAGAGACATTTTGGAGTTTGGACTCAATATTTTCCTTGCCTAGATTTTCAAAATTGGTAATTGAATTGAATAGTTCTGCAATTTTCCTGTTTCAAAATTTCCTGTAGTTCCTGTCTTCTGTCTTCTGGGGATCTTTTCGTTTAGTCACTGAATGTCTTGATAGATAGGTATTCTGGTTGATTTTCAAATATAATATGAGGAATTGGGAATTGCCCCCTTCATTAGTTTAGGTTGCATCAGAGGGTGCTCACACCAAATTCCTTCCTTGTTTTTGTAATGCCACCCTTTGCATTTCTGTAGTATCAAAATATTCACAGCACACAACTGAACTCTTTGTAATTTGGAAGTTTTCTTTATGAATGGCTGGTAACCATAATTTGCAAAATTCACTTGTAACCTCGAACACAGCATAATCGGGCATCTATAATAAATAAAAAAATTGCATAATGTAATATTTTGATATAAAAATGATGAATTTCTTACCTTTACTAAAGACAAAAACAAAGTGTTCGTCGGCGTCCTGTGGGAACAATTTGAGTAAACAAACCAAAAGATGATTAAGGTAGCGGTTAAAATTTTGATAAAAAAGTGCACAGGGCACAATTATTGATCTTTTGAACTATTACAGATGAATCATATGCGCTATAATAATAACAAATAAATAAAATAAATATAATAAACACATTCAAAACCTAACCTGAATCGAAAACATAGGACCCACATGACATGTTGCCAGATTTCTTACTTCATGGCTTATTACTGTAGGGGACTTTGATTATATATGTAATTCCAGAAGTTACCTTTAAGTTAACTCTCAAAGTAGTTTTATAATACCCACCCTAAATTTTATATTCTGAATGCCACATCTGTTAATTTCCTTGCGTTCGGTATTTTGCTCTAAGAGCGGAGCGTACTGAGTGGAGCCGTAATAACGTGATCAGCGAACGAACAGAGCAGTTGAACGATGTATCAGAGTGCCAGAGATTTTAATTGAAAAAAAAAAGAGAACGCGGACGAGCCTGCACCGAGTACACTTTTTGAATAAACGAACGTTAAATTCAAGCTCGGAGAACTCAGATCAAAATACTGAAGGCAGGGTTTGTGTATGCGCTGGATAAGGGCTGGATTCGGTAATTGCATCTGCGAGCAAAATGAGCAAAATTTGACAAATGTCACGTGATTTGACAAGTGGAGCAAGATAAATCATCACGTGACGACCGTCAAAATCTGCTTTTTTTACTCGCAGATGCAATTACCGAACCCAGCTACGACATCTCTAGAGTGCGCTCGAAATCACCCTGAGCGTCACACCGAGTGCACACAAGGGGCGAGTTCAGGAATGACACACCCAGTGTGAGTGTGACACCGGTGCGACGCCCTAGCTGTTCAAAAATGCTAAACGGTGCTATGGGCCCAATGGCCAATTGTCAATTCAGGCACACCCATAAAATCGCACTCGCACCCTGTGCGTTATTTCTGAACTGGGAACAGATGCGTGCGTGGTGCAACAAACACTTTCCGAAAGGAATAAGCGTGTAACGTCCCGGAGTTGTTCCGGAGCTCCTCCTAGGTGTGAAAGGAATACAACTACGACGAGTTCAGGAATGACATACTTAGGGCGGGTATTATAAAACTACTTTGAGAGTTAACTTAAAGTTAACTTGTGAAATTGCACGTAATTCAAAAAGTTAACTACAAGTTAACTATCGAAGCAGTTTTATGATACCCGCCCTTAGTGTGAGTTTGACATCAGTGCAACGCATTAGCTGTTCATAATTGGTATAGGCACACCGAGTGCGCATTCTATGATCCGTTCAGAAAGTACTTCGGGCGCGCTCCAGGTGTCGCAATGGCCACACCACAATTTTTTAGTGTGGCTTTGGTGTAGTTATGTCTTTATGTCAACAATAATAGCCGCTTTCCAGCTGACGCTTTTGAGCACACAATCGAGCTTTTGTGTGCGCAAATGCTTCAAGCGCGTGTTCGTGTTCCAGCCATACTGCGGTTCGAGAGCTGCTAACTTTTGCGTTTCAAACACAGAACACTGTGCTGCACCGTGCTTGAAGCACACAGCTGGAAAGCGGCTAATATCAACCATTCCTCCCATAATGTCATTATTTCCACCAAATATAAATAAAACACAAATAGAAATTAAAGTTTTTTTTCAATTAAAAAAATGAACAACAAAAAAATATAATCTTGATACATTTGGTGAAATTTTTGAGGAGATGCTCGATTGATCACACCAAGTCTTCAGAAATTCATATGAAAATTATCGCCTAAGAATTGTCATTTCAGTCACACCCATA